GAAGTGTTGGCAAAGATAAGTCCTAAAATTAGCTGTTGCTAAAACAACTTACTCTGTATGGAAAGCTAGAAATGAAATAGTGTTCTTACAGGTGCCAATCGATCTCAGTATCACAACAACCATTATAATGAACATTGTTATGAGATGTAACATGTACATGAATCTTAGTAAGCATGCTAAGATAGAAACTTTGAGTATTGTTTAGCTAAGCATGCTAAGATAGAAACTTTGAGTATTGTTTAGCTAGCTTTACTTTTCATTTTCTTGAGCTGAGATGGGCTTTTTCTGAATCCGATAAGATTGACTTGTATTAACTATTTTTTAGAATAATGTTTATTTTCTCTTTAAAAAATTCATTTTAAAATATAAAAAATAACTGTGATATTTTTTTTCCACAAAAGATAATATTAAAGTCATATATAAATTATGGGTAATGTTAACTTATGCCCTAAGTGCACAAGTTAAAAAACAAATAAATAAATATTATTTTAGAAATTGTTCCTTAATCTTAATTAATAATTCTATATAATTAACTTTTTAATAGTTTTTTTCAATACAAATTTTTTTTAACTGAGTTTCTTAACTTACTTTTCTAGAGCACAAGTTATTATTACTCATAAATTATAGATATTAAATTTATAAAATATTTATTAATATGAATAAAAAATTGTGATAAACTCTTATAAATAATCCCTTCGTTCTAAAGTTAGGATTCTAATTAATATTTTCATACAAATTAAAAGAATGTGATAAATAAAAGAAAGAATGATAATTATACTAAGTTATCTTTATTTATTATTGGTATATTCTTATTATCATTAATGCTAGGTGAAAGAAATAGTAAAAATTAAATTACAGTTTTAATTTCCTAATTTTGTTTGATTCACAATATTAGTTTTAATTTTAAATTTAAATAGTTTTAGTTCTTTATTTTAAGTTGAAACAATTTTAGTTTTTCTTTCATGTTTTTTCAAAGAAAATTGGTAAAATATTTAGTTTTTAATTTATATTTTTATTTATTATAAAGTTTAATAATATATTTAAATACAATGATTTGTCATGTTTCACATATAACTTATCATTTATAAAAATGAAAACATGGTTAATTATAAATATAAAAGTATGAGAGGGCGTTCAAAACTTTTTAAATTTTAAATATGAGGACTAAAATTGTCTATATTTGAAATAAGGGAATCAATTAGGTGAGTCAAGTAAAATAGATTAACAAAATTAAAATTAAATCAATAATAAATTAAAAATATAATTAAAAAATATATATATAATTACATTAAAATTAAAAACCACACGTATTCTAAAAAAATTAATTTTTACGTATGTGTCATTTATTTTGGAAGAGAGAAATTTTTTGAATGAGTTGAATATGTGTGAAAAGTTAAGTTCGTTAACTAAATGAGTTGAAATTAAACTATATATAATTCGACTCGTTAGATTAACGAGTCAACTCGATTACATATGAGAAGAATTATACTGTCTTTGTCTTTAAGATTAGATTTAAATATTTATTCTAAATCTTAAACAAATTTAATCTTCAATTTAATAATTTTTGAATTAGACTCTCAAATATATTTTTTGAAAGTTGCGTAGGTTTTGAATTAATAAATTTCTAAAATAAAATTAAATTTAATATGATAATTTTTATTTTATTTTAATATATTATTTATAAAAAAATATTAATTTAAAATGTCAAATATATTTTAAAAAAATAATTTTTAAGTCTATAAACTATGTGAACTGAATCTAATGAGATGAATCTAACGAGTTGAATCGAACTATTCTTAAATTTATAACGAGTCGAATTTGAGTTTAAAAAAATTTATATCAAACTCGAACTAAAATTTAAACTGAGCTAATTTTTAACGAATCGATTCAAATTAAGGTGGATTCGACACGACTCAACTCATTTCTAGAATTCTAGCTATGTAGTAAGAGATGATAGCATATACCATGAAAGATATTATTGGTTAAAAAATACAATAGACGAGGTCAATTATTGAGTAGAACGAAATATTTATCATTAAATATTTAAGTACTTTTGAAATTGAAGATGGTGGTGGGTTTTTTTTTTAAGAAGTGAGAAGAGACGGTATGGGAGAGGAAGAGAAAATGGAATAGTCTTGGAACTGATTATGATAAGAACAAGAAGATAAAGGGAATTTAAGGAGCGAATGATAGCTTGCCACGTATGGAAATTCGTGGTGGAAGAAAGATAAAGCAAATCTTGGAAGATGATATTATTCAGACAAAATCTGAAGAAAAAAGAGGGAGGGAATCAGAGCAATTTCACCATGTTGACACTTGTGCAAAGACAAAAATGGAAAAAAAAATTATATTAACTTGTTAGTCTTAATATATGATCGACTCTGAGTATACGAATTAAAGAATTAAAGATTGTAAATTACATTTTTATTAATTTATTATGAGTAGTATATAAAATAATAATTAAATAAGTGAAAATATACCAATATTTTTATATTAAAAAGTAAACATAATATTTATTTTAAAATATTTTTTTAAAACAATAATTATTATTTTAAAACGACAATTGAAAGAGTTGATTAGGGAGAAATTTCTAACAACCTTTCCAATAAATAGCTAACCCTAAGATAAGACTAAAAAAGTAAAAAAGACAAATGAATGAGACGAAATCAATCATTGAGTTAAACAAAAAAATTACAGAGAACCAATCATATCTAAAACTTGATTGTCATATTGGAGAGAAAAAGAAGATCACAAATTATTATTACTCCAATGACCCATTTGAATTAATTCAAATAATAAAATATTTTAAAATAAATGATCTATTTTAATTTATAATACAAATTATTTTTTTATTTAATTATTATTATTATTTAAGTAAAAATATTATTTTTTATTTTATTTTTATATTTTTCTAATATATGTGAAATAATCAATTTAATTATTCATCGGGGAACGAAAAAAGTACATCCAAAGATCAATTGACAAATTTCGTAAGAATGTTATTACTTGCTCAACAATTTTACATATTATTGTTCAAGTTGAAGAAAGTATGTACTATTTTAGAGGTGATAATCGATTTGATCAAGTCTAGGAGTGAGCAAAGGACGGGTCGAGATGGGTTATGACTAACCCTAACTCTGTCTTAAATTTTGATCGGACTATTTTAATGACCCGAATCTGTACCTAAACCCGTAAAAAATCCGATAATATATAAGTTAGTTTAGACCGGGTTAATGTAAGACGATAACGGGTTGATCCGAAATATATGGAGAAAAAAATTTAGTGACTTAAAAAGTTTATTATAGTATTTTAAAAAATTTATTTAAATAAGAACTATAAATAAAATCATTAGCATGAATGAAAAACAATAAATACATCTAAAGTCAATTTTTAAAAATAAAAAACATGATGAAATTCTATATACGTCATCACCTTTTTATTTTCCCTAAAACATAATAAGAAGATGTAAAATAAAAACATGATGCAAGAGAACTAGAAAAGTGTGAAAGTTAGAAAGTAGGAAGATGTGTACTTAGTATTTACTTAGTGCATATATTAAATTATGAGGTGGAAAGTGGAAAAGTTTATTGTTAATTTGGAATAATCTAAATATATTAATAAATCAAATAAATAAATAGTACCACATGTGCATTCATAATATTAGAACGGGTTGGATAACTCAATGGTCAACCCGAACCCGTCTCACTTGATACCAGGTTCATTTTTGAACAGTCATGTTTTTCCATTTTTTTACATGAGACGGGAAAAAGACTAACTCGAAGCTATTGAGTTGGGACGGGTCTTCGGGTTGGATTGAATTCTACACACCCCTACGATTAACTATCAGAGATTTATAGTCTAATCTACATAAATCTAGGCTAAACCATATTTTTCTTGAATAGGGAAAATTTAAACTTATGTATACATTTATTTAATTAAAAATATTAGACCACAAACCATAAAAAAAATTTAAATTTATATTGACCTATTTAATTAAATAAATATAAATAAATTTATTATTATTATTACTAGTATATTTATTTTGTAGTTTGAATTAAAGTATAAAGATAAATAAATCTTAATTATCTTGTAGAAATTATGAAAATGAGATGAGGAAAAATTACGAACAATGTCATAAGTTGTTTTCATAAGTTCTGTTAAATAAATAGTATCATAAAACTTATCTTAATAGGTAAACTCAAATAAATTAATGCAAACAAATATTTACTTTTATTAATATTTTAATTTATTAGTTTATTTAAATATTAGTTAATTTTTTTACTTACGTATATTCAAATAAAAAAGACTTTTAAATAGGCTAACAAATTAATCATACCTTCGAAAAGCCAGGTCCAAACTTAAAAATAAATTTATAATAAATTACAAATTAGACTTAAATTTTAGATTTTTTTATTAGGCCAAACTCAAACATATAAAAAACCTATTTCACCCCTAGTCCCTAGCTTCGACTTATGGGAAAATATTGAAGCATAAATTGAAAGAAGTTAAATAACACACCATCTGATTCAAAACTTCTGTCGTTTAAGATTTTTGCACATAGATTAAAGGATGCAATGATATTATCATAAAATATTACACTTTTATTAAATTAATTTTATAAATGTATTGAAAATAATATATATAATAATAATTATATGACGCAATTGAAAAATTAATAATTATTAATGCATAAAAAATAAAAAAGACATTCATTTTAAAACAAAAATTTTCTCCTAAAATAATAAAACTGGAGGAGTATAACAAAGCAGGTAATGGATAGTAGTTTATGACATTTATTAATATTTTCTTTATTTAAAACTAGCATAGTAGCACCATAATACACACTACTAGTTGGTATTTTCCTGAATTTAAAATCTTGCACTAGACTACACTTTTCTATTTTGGTTTTATTCCCATCACTTGTAATCTCAACTATATTTAAAACCTTGTTGATACTTTGCACTTTGTAATAAACCAAGCTAGTAGCTAGTTTAATCTCCATGGATTCTCAAAATTTTGTCTACCTTTTCCTCTTCATCCTTGTGGCACTAAATATTTGGAGAAATCTCAAGAAAAAAGGGTCAACTCCAAACCTACCCCCTGGACCATGGAAGCTACCTATTATAGGACACATACACCATCTAGTTACTTCTACACCACATAGAAAACTAAGAGACTTGGCCAAAATACATGGACCCTTGATGCATCTACAACTTGGAGAGATCTTTGCAGTTGTTGTTTCTTCACCAGAGTATGCTAAGGAGGTACTTAAAGTTCATGATATTGTATTTGCATCTAGACCTAAGATTCTTGCTGCGGAAATATTAACATATGGTTGCACAAATATTTCATTTTCACCTTATGGAAATTATTGGAGAAAAGTGAGAAAAATATGCACAATGGAGCTTTTAACACAAAAACGTGTGAGTTCATTTCATACCATTAGAGAAGAAGTGTTCATGAATCTCATCAAAAGGATTATTGATTCACAGAAAGGATCAGGATCAGGATCAGCCATCAACATCACTCAACTTGTGGCTTCATCAACATTTGCTATCATCACCAAGGCTGCACTTGGTGACAAATGCAAAGTTCAAGAAGAGCTTGCGGCTTTGGGAAATGGAGAATCTGTTGCAGGAGGCTTTGACATAGGTGAACTGTTTCCATCTGCTAAATGGCTTCAACTGGTTTCTGGTTTGAGGCCGAAACTTGAGAGGTTGCATAGACAAGTTGATGAGTTACTAGAAAAGGTTATCTTTGAACATAAGGAAGAAAAGTTGAAAGCAAATCAAGGCCAAGGTGATGAAGTAGAAGAAGATCTAGTAAATATTCTTCTAAATTACCAAGGCGGTAATGATAGTGATTACAAAGGTGGTAGTTTAGAGTACATTCCTTTTGGTGCTGGAAGAAGAATGTGTCCAGGGATTACATTTGGTTTGATGAATGTTGAGTTAGCCCTTGCATTGTTGTTGTATCACTTTGATTGGAAGTTCCTAATGGAATGAAAGGTGAGGATTTGGATATGAATGAGCAATTTGGAGCTACTATCAGAAGAAGAGATGATCTGTACTTGATACCTACTGCTCATGTTTCTTATGGAGTAGGGTGAAGTCTGAGTATAAGGCTATTCTGGAAAGTTCAATCTAGCTTGTTGGTAATGGCCAAAACATTAACTTCTAGAATGATAATTGGTGAACCTCATAGTTAACACTCACAACTTAATGATAACTGGTGAACCTCCTTCATACTTTTTTGTTGACATGTATCAGCGGAAGTGATAAAACTCAACGTTGAGAAAAAATATCATTATTATTATTGAATCAGAAAAAAGGTCATTTACAACATAACCTGCTAAGTCATTAAATAGGCTAACACATAAAGCAAATAAAAAAACACTTCTACCTATCACCCTGACAATTAAACCTCACACCCTCCAACCTTTATGAAAAGACTAAAATAACTTTGTAAAAATATTTTTCATATTTTTAAAGTTTGTAGCCGAATTTTTAAATTTCAAAAACGATATGGAAAATTTAAAACAAGTATTAAAAATTTCAAAAGCAGTAAGTTTTTACCGGAATTTCCAATATTTAAATATTTTGTATTTAAAATTTTGAAATTTTCAGTATTTTTTATTTGAAATTTTATAATTTTCAATAATTTTTATCGGAAATTTTGAAATTTCCAGTGCAAACCTCAATTTTTGTTATCAGAAATTTCAAAATTTCCGATAATTTAAAAAAACTAGTTTAGTATCTTACCGAAAATTTTAAAATTTTCGATAGTTATAAAAATTTAGTTGTATACCATTAATTTCAAAATTCTCGGTAGTTATAAAAAATTAGTTTTGTATCAGAAATTTCAAAATTTTTGGTAGTTATAAAAATTTTGTTTTATATCAGAAATTTCAAAATTTTCGATAATTATAAAAATGGCAAAATATCTTTTTTGGTCATTTAAAAGGTTATTAAAAAATCCACACATATCCATAATCGAACCCTGTTCCACTTTTTTGTTGGCACACTACTTTACCACTAGTTCAATTTGTATTTTTATTTATATATGTACGCATTAAATATAATTGAACTTGTTTATGATTCATTATAAAATTAGGGTTAATAATTTGGGGCTTCTCTTCCAAAAATAAGAACAGAATGGAGTAATTTATCTGTGATTGAAGAAAACCATTCAGAAATTATTTGAATTGCATTTCTTCTCTTTAGCCTGCGAGACAAACTTGTTTCCCTTCTCTTTAGAGCAAAATAGCGCAACACTGCATAAAATGTGCAACAATGTCATTATAGTCACGAAATTGAAATTGTTAAGTGAAGATTGAATGACTCACATTTAAATTACATTATATTAGAATTTGTGATTATGAGCAAGTACATTCCCCATAAAATCACGTCGAATTCAAAATCAACATCGGGAGCATCAAGATTCTGAGATAAACCTATTCATAAAAAGTAACTATTAAGCATAATGAGTTAATTAAGCAGAGTATAAGAGATTTTTTAATTAACATACGAATGCATTAGGAAAGAGATTAACATATGGAATCATAGATAGAGAATGAAAATGAAGAGAGAAATTGTTGAGAACCTTGAAGAGAAAAATTAAAGGAGTTTTGAAATTAGGGTGTGGAAATAATGGAGGAAGAAAGAGTTGTGCCCAGAAAATGAGATTACAATGTGAGGAGTAGCATAAACTTTTCATCTGGATAAAACAAAGAAAGACTTAAGAATAAATGAAAAATAAATATATATTTCATTTGTAAATTAAATTATCAAGAAATGAAGTGGTCTAGTGATAAATTGTGTTTCATAACAAACAATGTGTCCTTGGTTCAAAACTTAGCTCAAGGCATAGTTTTGGAATTTTTATTGAAATTTTGATTTCTCTTAATGATGAATAGATGCCACGCGTATGTACAACTGCCACGTTGGATGCCACTAGTGCAAAAATAGACGTCGTTAGTGAAATTAGACGGAAAAGACTTAAACAAAACTGTTTGAACAATTAAAGGATTAACTTGAAACTTTTTAAAATTTAGGGACCAAAATGGACCCCGAGGTAAAATTAAAGGACCAAAAGGGGTATTTTGCCAAAAATTTAGTTTTATACTAGAAATTTTAAGATTTTCGGTAGTTGTTGCCTTTATTTTTTTTCTTGATTGTTTTTTCCTTCTTTTGCAGTGAAAAGCAGAGGCAGAGAAGATACTATTGCAGGGAGAGCTGCAGATCGAGGATCAGATCAGGGTATGACTTCTAGTGATGTTGATGCTGAGTCTTCCCATCTATGAGCAGGATGAGTGGACCCCACTGGTTCACACCGAAAGCGGATGGCAGAGTGATCTGTCACCATTTTTACTATACTTCTATCACTTGTTGAGCATTAATCCATTTAACCGGTAATACTTTCTTTCGTCTTTTTACTTCTTTTCAAGTTGATTTTACTTTTCGCAAAGTTATTTTCGCATTTCAGTATTTTAATTTTATTTCAATTATTTTATATTTTACGCTTTGGGTTGTTGGTTTTGAGTGTTTCCAAGTTTAGGTAATAAGACCCAAAACACTCGATGAAAATAAAAATTTGGGATTTCAAAATTCAAATTTTGGAGTTACAGGAGGTCTGAAACGACCACCTATGTCACCTGACACGGGCCATGTCAAGAGGGGGAGCCTTGTCAAGAAAAAGAGAAGTTGTTTTTGCACATCCAGGGGGATGACACGGTCGCCCGTGTCAGCTGACACGACCTGCGTCAACATGCCTGGAGCAGGGAAGTGGTTTTTGGTGGATCCAGGGGGCCAACACGGACACCCGTGTCAGCTGACACAGACCGTGTTAGCCAAGGAGCTGATTTTCCCGTTTTTGTGGTTTTCACTGTGAACTTGACCAGTGACGGCATTCTGGACATTTCCAACCAAGGATATTGTGTTTTGACTATTTAGAGGAGTTTTTACGAGAAAGAAAGGGACTTTTTGACGAGAGAGCAAATTTACGATCAAGATTGGAGCGATCAAGAGAATTGGAGAACAGAGATTTTCATGAGCAGAAGCGATTGAAGATCAAAGTAATCTAAATTTCTTGCAATGTTGAATCCTATTATTGTTTTGTCTTTGAATACTATGAGTAGCTAACCCCCCCCCCCAATACTAGGGGTGTCCCTGGATTGACTCTGTAATGACCTTGATTTCCTTTGTTCAGCGATTTAAGTGCTTTTTCATAATCATTTTCATCGTACAATGTTTTTAACGCTTTTTCTATCGGAAAAATAGGAATTTATTTACAATTAACTTTTAGGTCGGACAAACCATTGTTAACGCTTTTTGTGCGATAATATTATAGTAGACATCACCTAGGACTAGGAATACCCTGTAGTAACCGTAACATTCTTGATAAAACTAAATGCTTGATTTCATCCTAAATCTCTAAGGACTTAAGGTTTAGGATGAATATCAAAGGTTTTTCTTCCTAAGGCATTAGGGAAAAATTAACTTGAGAGTCGATAAATGTTTGTTTTAAGTCATGTCTCAGAAATAAGGATTAAGCTTGTTACAAGGCAATTCATACACCTTGCCCTAGCATGCTTCTCATATCTGTTAAAGATCAATTTTATTATTTTGCCTTATTTTCTTACTGTTAGTTTATCATTTACAAACCAAATCCTAAACCCACAAGTGCTTTTTGTTTAATTGAATTATTACTAGAACTCATATTCATACGCAGTCCTCGAGATCGATACTGGGGATAAACCTCTATTTTAACTACATCGACGAAAATAGTACACTTGCTATTTTACCGATCACATAGTGGGGGCATTTCTGGGAACCTCGTTCTACACGATACCGACCAGTTAGATTAGCAGAGCAGACTACAGATGAGGTGCTGACAGATGTTCCTATAATTGAGCAAGTGGTTGAGTCGGTGGTTGAGCCGGTGGTTGAGTCGGTAGTTGAGTCGATGGTTGCTCATGTTAGAACACAGATTGGTGTTTCTTATATCTCTATGTTTTGATGATAACTTTTATGAAATTTTGTAGTAAGAAAATATACACTCTAAAATTTGTTCAAAGTATTATTGTTTCAGGTATAAAATTAAATACTCTTAAAGAAGCAAAATACATAAGTACAAGAAACTATGCAAAGCTCTGAAGCATCAGATGCAAGACTATCAGAAGATTCTGAAGCGCTGCCAGAAGAATCTGAAGCAGAAGCTGCAGAATAATCTGAAGTGTTGCTGAAAGAATAGTTGAAAGCTTTGATCAAATCAGACTCTGAAGTTCATTTCACTGCAAGAACAGAGGCTCTGATCATCAGAATCTAATCAAATAAAATTCACGCTCAAGCACATACTGCTGCACACTCTGATGAAGACTCTGATCAAGATTGAGACTCTAATATAAAATATTTCATCCCTTTAAGCGTGCTACATGTTCTGAAGTGCAGATTATGAAGACTTCATCCTGAAGGAAGCTTGTTGAAGAAGCTGTAAAACTTGATTAGACGTGGTGCTACTTCCAAAGTAACCAACGACTAATTTGTCCAAAGAAGTGACGTGGTCCAAATCCCAAGGCTTCTACAACCATACTTTTCCTGCAGAAAGCATATCTCTGCCCATACTTTTTGGTAATGAAAAGTCTTATAATCTAATATTATATACAGCTGCACATCACTCAAAGAAATTTGGAAAAGCTATAAAAGGAGTACTTCTGCAATATTTTGAAGTTGCTAAATTACCACTCACCACTTGCTTATTGCTATTTCACTCAGAAAGAAATACACGCTTGATTCATAAAAGTGAAAATCTCACAAAGATCTTATTCATTTGATCTCTCATAAAACTGTATAATTTTTGTTGTTGTACTTAATATTAAGTGTAAACATCACAGTTGTGATACAGCTTATTAGAAGCATTCAAACACTTGTTAGTTTACATTAATTTGTAAGAAGTTCCTTAAGAAGACCAAGGTGTGGTCAGTAGTTCTTAAGAAGACTAAGACAGT